ACCACGGGAGAGAATAGGTTATTTACACCGTTCAATTCCATGCGATTTCCAACCAGCAGTCGAGTACCGGATAAAAACTCTCGGATCTCTAATGATTCGTTCTGCCTTCCAGTGCACTCCACTGAAGCGTTACGAGTAATGAATACCACCACAGAATTCGGATGTTTGTTCATCAGATTGACCAATTGGTGTGTGAATAAGGTTTGTTTTAAGAGTTAATAGTTGCCAGAATTTACACAAGACAAGATGAAAGAGCAATTTACGTTTCGGATTTGTGATAGCGGCCTACGAAACTATCAAATGAACGTTTTTTCTCAATTCATCTTTCATGTTTGCTAACACTCGAAGTCTGCGGTATCGGCGGTGTAGCGATGAATGTAGAAGAGACCGACGGTAAAATGAATATAAAATCATACGCTCACGATTATAGGAGAAGGAGACTCAGAAAATGGAAAATAACAAAAATCCGCAATTTATTGTTTTGCATCAATCCTATTAAGTCACGGCTGAAAATGTTTTATATCAACAAAATAGCAGGGGAACAATCTTGAATTTTGTTAAATTCGGCTCCTAAAGGGTTGTCCAACTGCTGGAATATATCCATTTTTCAACAACCTTCTTTAGGAAAATAGCTTAAGAAGAATTTACACTATAAATAAAATTGTAAAAATAAAGTGAAAAGTTCAGAAAGTTTTCAAAATATTTATATCCTTACCATACATTTAAACTAAAAATATTGTAGCATAAGCTTGCAGAAAATGAATTGCTAAGTATATGCCTCATTAGTTGTTAAATACAAAAAACCTTCAATTTTGTTACAATTTATTATGGGGTTCGCCTATTACTGTTAGGCTTCATCTATTACTGTTCTTCAGCCAGACGAATGGCAGTGATACGCGACTGGTAATATAATAATACATCTCCATCTGACTTCACGTGCTTTCATAGGGTGCTGGCGATGATCACGACGCAAAGCAGCACCCCAACCCGCACTCAACAAACTACTCGCACGCTACAGTTTGACGAATAACGGTTCTGACGGATATCAGTGACAGTTCTCCTTAACTTTCGTTGAAACTAATGGTGACTGAGAGATCACAGCAGGAGGTTACCTCAAAAAATTTGCTACTCTCTGGCAGTCAGTATCACGTAAAAAAAACTGTTGAGCATTGCCTCAAGTGTGATTGCGCTACTTCGTTTAGTGCTTTTTTGCGGTGGATAAACGTGCTTTCAGATGTGGTGGACATGCGCGATTTGCCTCAGAGAGCAAAAGAGAGAAGACGAGAATTATGTACGTTGAAGGTAAAAAAGAGAATAACTGTGTACATATTGTGATAATTATAATCGATCCCCAATGCATACGCACATTTGTGACAAATTTTTGTATTCTCTACAATTCAGTGAATCAGCGCATGTACTACATACATAGAACCCTACAATTAAGTAAAATAATAACATGAAATACATCACATTACATTTAGTACATTTACAGGCAGTTTTGTTTTACGAAGGAAATACCGTATCCTTCTTTCTTAAAATTCAAATATATTTCTGAGGTCCCACGGAGCCGAGCGTGCGCCTTGTGGAACAAAAAATAAATGTGCATGTGCAAGGTTAGATCACCCTTTCGGCGCACGCGTCCCCAGCTCATGAACCGCTCTCCACTTCCTCTCGCATAATTCTCCCCCACCTCACCCTCGCACGCCACGCCCCACCTCTTCCCGCTCCCCGCTCCGGCCCATCTCCCGCCACCGCCACCGGTCGCGAGCTGCGAGCGAGAAAGGCGCGGCCCGGGGCGGAGCGGGAGCGGGGGGGGGGGGGGGGGGAAGGGGGGAGGGGGAGGGCAGGGCGCGAGGGTCGGGCCGGTGTTGTTCGGCTCTTAATGGGCCGCTGCATCGATCGGAGAGCTATTTATGCTGCACGCCGGGGGCGGGGCAGGGGCGGGGGGCGGGTCCTCTGCGGCGGGGCGACACAGCCTCGGCGACGGATGCGGAGGCGGGGGTACGGGCGCGGGCGGAGCAGGGCGGCGTGGATTTAAAAACCTCGAGACCGCGCCGCTCCGCACGCCCTTCCCCGCGTTTTCCACATAAAACTCCGAGAGAAGGGTCCTCGCGCGGGCCAGGCCGGAGGTCGGGGCCTCGGCGCCGGCGGGGGCGGGGCGGAGGACGGGGGGGAGGGGGGGAAGGGGGAGCGAGCTCCCGCACGAGTAAATAGTTGAGGCGATCGCGCCGTGCCGGGATGTATGGGAGCGCGCGGGAAAATGAGGGCTTAAAAACAAAAGAGCTACTTAGACGAGCGCGGCGCGCGACTGTGCGCGAGGCGAGGCGAGACGGGATCGCCAAGCGGGGACACTGAGGGCGGCGACGTTCGGTGGGACGTAGGGCGGAGGCGTGAGACGAGTATTTGAGGCGGCAACGTAGGGGCGCGGACGTAGTGCAGGGCATACTGGCCGGACTGAATCAGTGTGTCACGTGGGGGATATTTAGTGATTGATATATACGAAATTAATAGAGTGAATTGAATGTGAAGTGAAAAGAGATAGGCAGAAGCGGGACAGAAAGTTTGTAGATACAAAGTGACAGACGGAAAAATTGCGAGTTTGTGATGTATTTGTCGAAATGGAAATCGTAGCGGTTCTCATGTGAGTAATAGATTCATGAAAGATGGGGCAAGGGACGCTTCGATGAGTACGTGGGCACTTGGGGAGCAATGCTAGAGCGGAATGAAGCGTTAAGAGAGCCGATAGCGAAGTCGAGAAGCGAGTCGAGGTTGCCAAACAAACGTCCGTGGGGAAAGCTCCCGTTCAACAGCCACCGGGAAGGAGGGCATTTTATAGAATATGAAACTGGGATTTCTGGGAAAGACTTGGCAAAGGAGGGACCACTGGTAATTATGGGTAGGTGAGGTGCAAGCGCTGGGTGTAGGTATTGAATGAACTGGAATATAAATGACGAAGCGTAAAAAACGATTTACGCATGCGAAGAAATGAGCAAAAGCAAAAAGGAATCACTAGCGAGAGATGGGAATGGAATACTATAACATGCACTGTACGAAATAGAAGGTGTGATACATGTGACGGCACAAAGAAGCAAGACATACATGGGGCAAGACTGAGTCGTCGGATGAAAGTAATCAAGTTGGCTGGTGGGAAATGAAAAGCGCTTGAAATAACTGGTGACGGAACCGATGGAAATCGGAGCTTTGGACACGCGAGGGACGAAGACGCGGACGGAACGGGACGGGACGCGGACGAGACAACACGGACGGGCGGAGGAAAGGAGGGTACGGAGCGGGGCGGACGCGGGCGAGGGGGGGCAGGGCGGGGGCGCAACGGGAGGGAGCACGGACGGCGGACCGGACAGGCGGGCGGGGCGGACGGGACAGGACGGGACGGACGCGGAACACGGGACGGGACGGGACGGGACGGGACGGGAGGGACGGGACGGCGGGCGGGACGGGACGACGGGACGGATCGGAGCGGGCGGGACGCGGAGGACGGGACGGGACGGGACGGGACGCGACGGGGACGGGCGGCGGGACCGGGAGCGGGGCGGAGGGACGGGGGACGGGCGCGAGGGACGGACGAGGCGGGCGGGGGGGTGGTCAGAGTCAGTTCGCGTCGGCACAGAGCGGGGCGTGGCGGAGTGGCGAGGTACGAGATGGGAACGGGTGGAGGCACGAGGCGGATGGAATGCGGTGAGACGGCCGAGGAGGTATGCAGACAGGCGAGGCGGGGTGGGGTGGGGTGGGGTGGACCGGGGCGAAATGGGTGGTGCGGGCACGGCGGTGTGGTGATGCGACTTGAAAGGGATGAGACGGAGCGGCGCGGGCTGAGGCAGGTCGTATGTTAACGATCTGAGACGGGAGGGCGGGGTGGAACGAAGGTGGGACCGAGTGCGGGGAGCAGCAGGGAGCGGCGGTGCGCGTCTCAGGCGCGGGTGGAGGGGGAAGCGGGCGCAGGGCGGAGGCCCGGGCGGGCGCGAGCCAATGCCATTATCATGCTTGCATATAAATACTTTTAATTATTTATACCGCGTAAACACTGTTCCATAAAACGAATAAGCGCCGCCTGCAGGAAGCTCTGAGGAGAATATGAAAGAGGGAGAGGAAGAAAAATGGGAGGAAGAAACGGCGAGAATGAAGGAGTAAAGAGGAAGAAGGAGAGTTGGGTAAAGAAGAAGAGAGGACATTTGGAAAGAAGAGAGGTGGCAGTTGGAAGGGAAAGGGAACAATAAGAAGAAGCGCGAGTATAAGAAAGGAAGAGATGAAGAAGAGAATAATTGTGGAAATGGCGAGGTGGAACATGTCGTTGGCATAGGAGAAGGGGGGAATACGTATGTAATGACAGATGAAATAGAGAAGTCGGTCGGGAATGTGGGGAGACGGAAAGTAGCGAGGTGCTGAGGGAGAAAAGGAGGAAATACATGGAGTGGCGGGCAAGTGACGTAAGAGTGGCGAGGCAGTGAAACGGAAGTGGCGGTGAAGTGCGCGTGGGTATACGAAAATATGTCGATGTGGCGGGGTTCAGGCGGACCAAGAAGAAGGTCGGGAATTATGGGGTAGGGAAAGCGGCATGGTAGTTGCGAGGGAGACGGAGAAGATCGGGGGTGGCGGTAGTGGACGTCGTGGGCGGGAACGTGACGTGGAGTGGCGGGGACGTGAACGTGAATGGTGAGGAACTGATCGTGGTGTGGCGGGTTGTGACATGAAGTTGCGGGAAGGTGACTTGTAGTGGTGGGGAAGTGACGTAGGGTGGCGCGGGAAGTAATGGGGTGGAGGAGAACGTGACTTGGAGTGCAGGGGAACGTGACGTGGGTGGTGGGGACGTGACGTAGTAGCTGGGAAGCTGACGTGTAGTGGCTAGGCGTGGCGTAGTGGCGGAGATGTACGTAGGTGGCGGAAGTGGCGGGGAGGTGACGGAGTGGCGGGAAATGGACGTGGAGTTTTGGGAAAGTGACGTGGAGTGGCGGGTATATAACATGTAATGCGGAGTGGCGGAATCAGGCGGGGCCAGCCACAGCTGCAGCGGGTGGAATGGCGGGCTGAGGGGCCGGGGGCCGGAGCGGGAGGGAATTTCCCTGAGGCAGCGGAAGCGCGGGCCTGCGTGCTGCCGCCGGCTCAGAGTGGTTTGCGTTTTTCAATTCCTGCCGCTCTTCAAGTATTAGCATCCACGTGACAAGTGTTGGAGATGAGAATTTCACGAGTGATTCGCATGACAAGCGCCATTTACGTTTTTTGTTGTTAACTACGTAGTGTTATCGTTCCTCGAATAAACATTCCCAAAAACACCTACAGTGAACACATAACAAGTTGCTTTCAAATAGGTATATTCAGTGCATGATTTACAAAATATTAGGTCCCGGAACGCGTCTCAAATTAATGATTTATTTAATAGAAATATTTAGATGTTTATTATAGAATTGATTATTCCCAAAGTAGCGGAACGCCGTTTCGTCGCGTTCCGCCAGAAATCCTGCACTGGGCATATTTATTAGTTAATATGGCAAGCGGCAATGCATATTACAAAAGTTTCATAGAATTATTCATCATTGGTAAATAGGCAAAATGTAATATAAAAATACCTTCATTTGAAAATCATGGAAAAGAAAAAATATTTGTATCCTTAGGTAAATCAGGCAGACCTTAAAATGTGCAGCAACACCCAAAAACTGCAAAAGAGTCACAACTGTGATGTTCATTGAATTTGTTGGCGCAAATGTTACAGCGTATGACAAATAATTACAATATTCATCACTCTAAGCAATCAAACCTATATGATATAATGATTATAACAAATGCATCGTTTTGTTTTCATTAATTCAGCGTGAGTATTCATTTTCATGTACCTGATTCTTAAAGTAATGGTTGTTTCTCATAATATAAAGAATTATGCGGTATTTCCTTTATTTCTTGTCAACACTCATCTCACCTGAAGTTTCCTACTTTGTTCCCTTTTGTTCACAGTTGCGTTCTAGCCCGATCGCTCACAAGTATCAAACACCAACACTTACTGAGATAAACATGCATGATTTATAACAACGAAATATACGACTACTAGTCACAGAGAGTACAGAGAGTGAGTGAGTGTGTGTGTGTGTGTGTGAGAGAGAGAGAGAGAGAGAGAGAGAGAGAGAGAGAGAGAGAGGGGGGGAAGAGGGAGAAAACCGAAATTCGCAAAAAAATATAGATTAGGTTCCCAAAGCTTATCTAATGAACAATCAGAAACTCTTGGAGGTAACGAATCACACAATCAATTTGTGAATATTAATATTAGTTGAAAATCAAGTCTAATTAGCCAGTGCCAATGCAATTTTGCAACACCCAGGTAACTTAACACTGTTTCGAAAACATCAATTACATAGAACTCGAAAATGGCGCGTTCCAGAACCTTTAAACAGCGTATTACTGCCGAAGACAACGAGGCAAGATCCTGACACTGTAACCTGCAAATTCGATCTTGGCATCTTCTCTTAGATTTTGTGCAGTCCAACTCTGTTGAGTACTCCATTCCGTTCTACGGGTAGGAAATGCGGTACATCGAGTTCGCGGTGTCTCAAATTGTATAATAAAAAAGTTTCGTTAACATTGTCCTCTTCATCCGGTTGCGAGGGGAGGGTTCCCACACTCGAGAGTTCTCGCACGGGTGCGCTAGTGATATAAAATGGCGACAACTGGCGGGACAGAACACCTAATTTATTTATTCCGCGCTGTTGAGGGAAGCCTTGCGTTCTCGGAACGACACCCCAGCGGCCAGATTTGTCACTGGCAATTACACGCGTGTGCATAGGGAGAGGTGGCGCTCAGCTCCGCCTCCGCGGGGGAACGGCGCCGGAGCGGTGCTGAGAGGCACGCACAAAAAGAACACCTGCAGTGATAATGATCTACGGCATACGGAACGTTTTGTTTAAACTTACCCAAGCCCGCCTAGATTCCACCTCACCAGGGTTCAAATCCCGGTCACTTCCTGTGACACTTGTGGCAGGCTTTCTCAAGATACTCGCATTTCCCCTGCCTAGGTGCATCATCATTATGTACTACAGTAATTCCTCCATTAATTCGTACAGTAATTCCTCGATTAACTTTTTTCGCGTTTCTCTTGTTGCTTGGAATGTGGCAACTCTTAACAAAACCCAGGAACCTATCTGCTTTTGGAAACTTCGTACATTATTCACAGCATTCAAGTGGTTTTTGAGTTCGAGAATATGAGACTCTTTGGCTTAAGTCATGGAAGGAAGTAGAAAAATTCAAGGCTCCTTGCAACTGTAGGTATTTGCCATAAATGACGTCACAAATGCTTTTTAAAAATAATTTAATTGAGTTTTTTAAATTAAGAATTTAAGGAATATTGTATCATTATACTTTTATTATACCATTGTACTTACGGTGCGTACTGTTAATTCACGAACTACAAAGTAGTACCCACCCCACTAAAAACAATTATTATCGTTCTTTTAGGGAACACTGAATAACGATTACTATCGATGTAGAAATGATAACCAGCGTAACTGCTGCAGATTTTACTGAAGTTTCAAATAGATTTAACGACTGGTAAAACAATATATTTTCTCAAATACAAAATATTTGGTACGAAAGGTGAAAATCAACTCACAGAAAAGTCACTAACATGATATCCTTCAAAGAATCGATGCGCCTCTGAGCGCCAACATCAGTAACGCTAGGGTCAAGACAAAAGTAAATTTACATGATTTTTTTCTTATTATTCACACAGTACACTTGTTTTCATTTTAGTATTTTAATTACTATTTTATGTAACACCAAACGCGCATGTTAACATTTTACTGAAACGTTGAATCGTTTTTACAGAAATAGTTGCTTCGCATTCATATCACAAGGAAAACAAAAAGTACAACAAATTTACAAAAATTTGATCGATGTGTCTCATTAGCTTGAAATAAATTGAAATTGCGATGTTAATCATTTCCTTCTGTAGTCCACTCCTTACTTCATCATTTCTAACTTTCAATTTTTGTTTTTTTCTCACTTTCAGATTGTTTCTTCTGACTTTCCATCTTCCTTCCGTTGTTTCCCTTCCTCTACTTCAATCATCAGAACATAAAATTTCTCTTCATTTCTTTTTTTCACCCCCTATCTGTTTGCTTCCGCCGTCATAATCATCACAAGGTGGTCCTCCCCCAAATGCAACTACATTTCAAATCCGTTTTCATTTTCCCAACCAATTACTTCCCCTACATTTTCTCCCCCAGCGCCATTTCTCTACACCACCAACCTCGTGTCTCCACAGTTTCTTCCCCGCTTCTTCCTCATTTCCCCCGTTCATTTTCCCTTCCCACGCAAGCCCCGCCCCCTACTCAACGCAGAAGTACTGCTCCGCGTCGCATCACACGCCCTGATCCCTCTCCCGTGCCCTCGCCACACCCTGCCCGGCTCCGCTCCGCTCCCGCCTCTCGCTGCCCCGCTGCCCCCCCGCCGCACCCAGAGCCACGCACAGCACTCGCAGCTGCTTTCCCTGAAGGACCCGCGTGCCTGCCCTGCCCTGCCCTGCCCTGCACCGCCCAGCTCCGCCCCATTACACCACGCCCCTCCCCGGCGCTCTCCGACCGCACTCAAGGCCCCCGCCCGCTACACCCCGACCTCCCCGCACCTCACGTCACGTCTGTCCCGCCCAGACCCGCCACCTCTAACACCCCTTCCGCGTTTCCTCTAACACTCCTTCCGCTTGCCTCCTCCTCTCCCTCCGCCCCGGCCCATCCCCCCGGTTCCGACCCCTCTTCCCTCGGTACCGTCATGTTATGCCTCGCTCAGCCAGCACAGCCCAGCTCCATACCCCGCCCCAACGGACGCTTCCTACCTCTGTCTTTGCCATTTTAGCTCTACCCCGCCCCTACCGTGGCCCGTTCACGCCACGTCACGCCCTGGTCTCCACCCCGACCCACCCTGCTGCCATGTCACGCCCGCCTCTCCACGCCTCGCCTTTGTACCGCCCCGCTCCGCCCCCGCTCCCGCCCCGCTCCGCCCCGCCCCGCCACGCTCCGCCCCGCTCGCGTACCTCCCCACCCGCCACGCCTGGCCCAGCTCACCCCCCACTCACCGCACGGGCGCGTCGCGTTTCTCGCTCCCACGCCGCCGCCTCGCCTCTTCCCCGCCTCGCACCCCGCGTCGCGACGCTCCCGCCGCCGGCGCTCTGCGGTGGCGGAGCAACGCGCGTCCCCGATGCCTCACCGCCCCGCACAGCCCCGCCCCCCGCAACATCTCGCACGTCCTGTGGATTCACCATGTGTACCCGAACGTAAAGGAGAACTGCTCTACGCGCTGCAGTGAAACGGGTCGCGCAGGCTCTCAACTTTCGCGAGGCCCGGTTGTTATTTTAACACACGAGATATGCCGCAGGTAGGTTGTTGAGAGTAGGTCAATTTTTAAAATAAAACACTTCACGTGATGAATGATACCAACGTTTGCCTCGTACAGGTATTGCACACATTCAGAAATTCCATACTTAGTCAATATCAGGAAAGGGAGAACTTCACACTCGAAAGCTACGTACATTTTTACAAATTTCTGGATGCTGGACTGAAAACTAGGCCTTTTTGCTTCTTCGTACGTTGAAGAATGTCTAATTTTGCCTTTTCGAATTTCATCTTCATTTATAAGAGCAACTTTCGATTCGTCATCACTTCATTTTTGCTTGTTCTGCATATGAAGGTTTTTATTTAACTGAAAAACTGGACCTTTGAATGACTTTGGATGATATACGTGAACATAAAGGTAGAAAAAGTAATATATCTTACATATACTATATAAATATGAACAAATACACTATACAATATATACATATACTACACAATATGAAGAAATACAATTGGCAAGTAATTCTTTCTGAACGGCTAAATCTATTTCAATTATTAAAGAGGCAAATGTAGATCATCAATTGACAATGGACATTTGAACGCGCGCGTAATGGAAGGTTTTTCTTATGCGGTTCAGACATAATATGATTCTCAATTCGTAGCCTTTTGGAACTTAAGATGAATGATTTTTGTAAATGCTGGGGTTCATCAAACGATTTGAATGATAAAGCAATAGGGGAATAAATGGTAATACAAGGGAACGAACCCCGTGAAACAGCCGCAAACTCGCTTTCCCCTCCAGACATTTCGCAAGTGATCGACCTCGTTCGAATAGCGCAAAAAAATCGTTGTCTAGCGAATGACGACATCCCGGGAATCCTCAGACCCAGAAAGTGGGGCTCGTTCTGTGTAGTCATGAGTACGTTCGTCATAGATCGTCTTCTCTGTTCGACATATGTGTGTCATGTATGAGGACATTCCGTCGTGAACCTGACCGCATCAGTATTAAGCATTTCCCTATCGTCGTATGCGAACACGAATATTCCGCGAAGTTCACCACCGCGTGCGGGGTGTTTATAAGATGACGCAATCCCCGCAAAACCGGACGGGGTGTGGTTAGTAGTTTGATTCAGCAGAAGGCTTAACGCGACAATGGCACAGAACTTTGCTACGGAGAACAGTGTGCTTTCGAGACCTACAGACCATGTTGAAAGGAGGCAGTGAGTTGACTCGGTACCGTGATGGATCCCAAATCATTTCGAAAAATGTAGGTCTCTTTGCTTCCTTACCAAGGTAAGAGAACAACTATTATAAACGTTCAGAGTCTAGGTATCGGTCAAGTTTCAGCAGCTGTAATGGAAGGATTCGAAGACAACTTCAACACCCTTCACGAAATTTGTATATTCAGTGTTTAATTTCCAGTGACATATTTGTTTTATGTGTTGTATCACACGTTTATTTCATGAATATAGTTGTTATTGGTATGCAATTCCCCGTGAAGAGCAGATCTTTATTATGTTTTCTGTCTAACTCTGCTAACAAAAATAATTTGGTCATTAGTGTATATGACGCACATTTGTTATTAATACTTGTATTTATTAGAGCGAAGACTTTTTTATTTCTAATTTTAGTAAACCGCTACGCAATTTAGTAAATGCAACCAACTATTCAGCGGTTTGAAATCTGCAATTGAAAAAACTTCCGATTTTATTTACTCTAGTAGTGTGGTTTGAGGTGCACCGTTGGAGATTTAAACAACATGAATTGATTTCGGCATAGGCAATTATGAAGATAGAATATGAATAACATTAGCGCAACGATGGAATTACAGGTGGGAAAACGGGAGAACCCAGAGAAAAACCTGCCGCGAACCCGCTTTGTTTCCGGTCACATTCCACACGGCTCGACCGGGATTGGAAGGCAGGTCCCAGCGGCGGAAGACAGAGGCCTGATCGCCACGCGCACTAGTGACGGCATGCGCGTAATGCGGGAGCAGCGCAGGAATACTCACACATGACGCGTAGGGCGACCGGGTTGCTGGTGCCGCGGCCCTCGCTGTTGACCGCCAGGCAGGTGTAGTCACCGGCCGAGTGCCGCGTCACGCCCTGCAGCACCAGGCTCTGGTCGCTCAGGATGACGCCGGCCGACACGTTGTGATGCATCTCGCGACCCTGTGCGCACATATACACACAAACTGCGTTAGCGCTCGTGAGAAAAGAAATGGCATTCCAAGGAAAAGATTTGTTACAATTCTCGTAGAATTTCTAGCAACATTTGTATACATATGATCGACACCACAGAGGTCGAGAAGACTCCGATATGCCTTGAATGCGGTGATCTCGACAGCGAAACAGTATGATTTTAAATGACAATTGGCGATAGAAATTTCGCAGCTGCAATTCTTGAAAATTTGTATTTAAAAGAGAAGTTAAAGATTGCAAATGGAGAATGTCGCAGCATGAATCCGAAATAATCGAGCGAATTGCCAGATACTGCATTTGCGAAAGTTAGGTATCTTACCTCAATTATACATTGAGTTTTGAAGAACAAATTTGAACAAATGGAAATATAAAAAAATTAGAAAAATGTAAAATTGTCCACACTCTAATTACCACATTTTTGGGTCAGAGAAATCAGAACAGACAAAACAGTTCTTATTCATGGACCAGATGTACTTTTTCCTAAAAAAATTAAACTCGTTCATATTACAATACCAAGAAAGCACTACATGAAAGAGGGTTTCAATAAAAAATAAAAAAATACGCAGTTAGGACTCAAGGAATTGTGGGAATTTAAAAGGGTAAAAATTGTACAATAGTAGTTTTGACAACCGGTTTAGTATCAAAATTATTGACCATACGTCTGGCTCAGTTCAATATTAAACAGTCGTAAGCATATAGTATAAAAAACACATATTAATCACATTAATCTCATGAGGAAACAATTGAAGAACAGAAAATAATTTGCCTTCCGTGAAGTCCTCCTTTATATCTCACAGGATTTCCATCTTCATCTCCTACACGATTAATTAACGCGAACCATCGTAATAATTATTCATATTATTTATAACATTAATATCAATAACAAAAACTAAATCCGAAACTAATGTAAATTACTGTAAACAGGATAGTTGTCATTATCATTCGCGTAGTTTCAATACGTTAGTATTGAATAGTGCGAATAATAGTATTGAATTGTTGCATGTTGCGTATTGAATGGCCGTAAATAGTCTTGCTATCGTGCTTTTCATAGTGCTTTAGTAGGTACATCAATCGAACCTACAGTTCCTGTCAGTTTAAAGATTCTTTTGACAATCGTTTTCTCTTGACAATCTTTCTTCTGTCAAACCTGTCAGGAGTGTCCATTCTCCTTCAGTTAAAAGTCTTCACGTCAGCGTCAGGTCACTTTGTGCACTGCTTCAAGCGACAGCTGCTGCGATACCGTCGACGGTAGACGTCTAGGCCTCAGCCAGAAGTTCAGTGCACGTCACTCTTGCTTTCGTTGCCTGGGGTCACGTGGTACGCTCTGTATTGCACACGATCGCTTCGCATCCCTTTTGAGTTTATTCGCTGAGGAATTCAGGTGGGAGTATGCATCGTAGCGATTCAAATTACGCACGAAATGCTACAACAGGATGGTAATCTTTATTGATCCTCTACTCTCCTAACAAACATACTTGCGCTCGTGTAGTTGTGTCTCTAAATATGAGCCTTCATTAGTGAGCAACAGGGATGTTCGCGTACACCATGTAGGTTTCACGGGGAAGTGATCATTTTGCGCTATGAGGTTAGTTATTTTACTTGAATATTTCAATTTACATCGATTATTAGGGACTTTTCAATTGTTTGACAGTAAAGAACTCTCATATCATTGAAATATACGAATCGCAATCATACACGATTAAATATGAGAGGTTACGTTATAAACATTTTTACCAGAGACTTCCCTTGGTAATACAAGATTTCATCATTTAGTGTATAAACTTCTGAGAACTAAATTTCCTAAAATATCTCGAAATATTACTATTTTCCTTCAGAACATATCATAGCTGTCAACTGAATATGAACTCTTATCAGTGCGTGTACATTTAAACATTGTAGTACATTTAAATATATTGCATCATTATTATAACGTAACATTTTTGACGTTATCTCCTTTACAAATAGCAAATTTGTGCGGCAGCATTGCTTCTGAAGGAAATACAAACACACAAAATATGCTGGGAGAAAGGAAAGCACATTGAGTAGTTTAATATAAAAAGCAAACGGAAACCCAGCCTTTTCTTTAATGCGGTCACGCTGTACAGAAGACAGCTAAGTCCAGCCTCGCGTGCCTTTCCGTGATAGTTCAAAGTAGATTACGGGCTCTATTTCAGCGATGGAAGTTCCCTGTATTGCAAATAGACTCTCCCAAATGAAATGACGTCGACGCTTTCTAGAACAACCAAGCTCTATAATCCTTCATTAACGGTAGAAACTTCAAAAAGCATTATGTATGTTAACTTCGTCTGCTTTGTTAAATTTACAATTTATCAATATAGACACTCAAAGCATGTGCATTATTCTTGTACCAACTACATTATATAATTTTTGGAGGTATTTTTGAACAGTGCATTTATGTATACACCTCTTATTATTAGAACTTATTTAAAAGTTATTACTATTTTGATTTACCTTACGTCATTAAAGTAACGTTGGGTTTGAAATTCACATTTTACCGGGGTGAATAAGCCAATAACTTGTGAAACAAAGTCTAAAGGATAATAATATACCTTCGTATACTATGATTCTCTGAACTAACTTTCTAGGCAGAATAAACAGATTACTGAACTTATTTGGTGATAATCAACGTACTCAAATCACTGCCTCAGCATGTATAATTGCAAATAGACTTATCATTTTATAGTTTATGATTTTATGGTATGTATGTTATTTTTGCAAATAGACATGACGCCCCTTTTGACAATGAACAATACAACAATGCAAAATAATAACTGTATAATGAAAATAAATTGTCTGGTCTTTAGAACACAAATTTATTTTTAGACTATGGACCAGCACTAAAATACCTTAAATTCCACCACGCCTTACTTAGATAACATGAGACAGAGAAGTGGCATATTTTCATCGTCATATTTTTGTGCAGTTTCCCTGATCCTCGAATGATGAGCTCGCCCCATCATACCTCTGGACATAAAAGTTACTATGTTATCTTTGCAAGATGTCGAGAATTCAATGGGAACTATACGCGTTCAAAATTTATCAGTTTTCATGTACTTGCGGCAGTAAGTCGTTTCTTTTATTTAAGGCACGATAAGGGATAATAGTGAATTCCTGAAACCATTTGCATTTGCTAATATTTTTTATTTCGAGGGAGCGAATAATTTCTTATAAATTCTCTGACCAACTGCATTTATAATTCAACATAATATGAGTTAGGGTAGGCTTCCCAGAACTCCAGAAAAGCTTACTTATTGCACCTCTAACATATTTCGTCGTTTTGTTTTGTTTTGTTTTGCGTTTCAATAATTAACACAAATATAATCATTGTTGGTACATGTGCGGGCAAATTAACTCAAATTTGGCGCCACGCTTCAAGTTCGTAGCGATCGCGCAGAGAAGCTAAGTGAAACGTGTATCGGGCGCATGGAAAGTTTGATTCGGTACGCTGCCAAGCAATTCCCAGCACATTACTGCAGTCTTTGTGACCTCAGACTCCAAAATGCGGCATAAAAGAGGCGTGCATAAGCACCAAGCGTGTAATTCGTAAGGATAATGTATATTTTCGGCCAGACAGAGGCAACCATGACAATCTCTCTATACTCATTGATTCTTACGGATTTGTCAATTATGTGTCTCTATCTTCAGAGTTTTCTCGTCTGATGAGAACACAGAAGGTGATGCATAAATTCTATATTCTCGCCGCAGTTTCTGCTAATGCTCTCCCAACCATCTAAGCAATATTTCGAAGACTCAACAGTCATGATGGAGCAATAACAGAATTTGTAAGGTGAAATGAGAGCCTCCCAGCAAATATGCTGAGAACCCCTTTCATCCACCATATATTCTGCATGTGCTGATACATTGTCGGGGGGTGAACCCCGGTCCCAGTGGCGGAAGGTGTGTGATCGCACCGCTATGCCTCGGGTCGCCTCGAGCTTAACATTATTGCTCATCGATTTTTCAACATCGCATCGGGACTAGTCATTGACTCATTAGTTACACTTTATTTTTTCATAGCCCTAGTCCGACCCAGACGATGCACATCAAGTAAACTTCTGACACCTTCCTGGGATCGAACCCGCCAACTGCAATCACAGGACGCTGGAGCCTTAAGAAGTTGCCTTCACATCCATTTGAAGCCAGTTACATTGCACGACCCGATATACACGCTTCCTTTTGACGAACTACATCATTCCAACGCGGATGAGGAGAAGGTGAGGAAAGTGGGCAGCAGTTGAAGGAGATTCGCTACTTTTCTGAATAAACACTGCTCTTCGTTCAAATGGGACTACTTACGTAGACCATACCAGACCTCCTCTGGAAGATATTTCTCACTACCTAAGTAGCTAAGTCTGTCTATGCCAATATTCACACGAGAATTTTAAAGAAAGGCTGTTGTGATTTGCCTTTTCTGTGGTTTCTTCAGATAAGCGGTTTTTTCTCATAAGCTAGGCGGATGACGAATCGATATCCCAAAAAATGAGACTAGGCTCACGTGTGAACTTTCATTAACATCCTGCTTCCATTTTCCATCCTTAGGTTCGAACATTGGGCTGATGCTTTTCTTCAGTTTCTTACTTCTTCTTTAAGGCGAGAATGTTGATGTAATTCCATACCTGGAGTTGAAATGAAGTGTCGTAGGAAGATGATATTAGGTTCAGGTTGGCCGTGTAACCCAGAGGTGGCAGCGAAGGAATGGAACGTTGAGGAGAGGAAATTTAGGGAGAAGTTATGCGTGAACTTCCGCATTCTCGACTTGAAATTCTAAATGATCCAATGCTGTAATGGAACCGCCAGAAAATGTCCAAAATACTCAGAACAGTCAATCACATAGTGGCGTTATCTTCATTTGCTTCAACTCTCTTCAACTTCATCAGAGATGCGAAGGAGCAGCGTGGGAGAGAGAACAGAGAAAACTAAAGAAAGAATTTACGCTAACATTGGTTTCA